AAGGGAGCTAGAGAGTAGGAGGTCGTGCGAGGAGTGGAGAGTACGGTTTGGGTGATATTTTGAGACAAGATTGGTGGTGTAATTTGGGGCAGAGTTATAAATGGCTTTAAATGTTATTATTAATGTTTTGAACGTTATTCATTGGGCAATGGGAAGCCAGTGGAGGGATTGGCAGAGAGGGGTGGCAGATACAGAACGGTTAGTAAGGTGGGTGAGTCTGGCACCAGCATTCTTGATAGACTGAAAAGGGGATAGACTGTGATGAGGTAGGCCAATGAGGAGGGAGTTACAATAATCAAGGCGAGAGATAACCAGGGAGTGAATAAGTAATATGCCTTGCTAAGAAATGTAAATAAAGGTAATTTCCTAGCACACCCCCTCCCTCCTTGCACATTGCCACCCTCTCCTCTTCTGGGCATGTCTTAATTACTGTCTAAGCTAGCCCAGCTCCTTTGCTCCTCCCCTCACCTCCCTTCATAACTTTTTATATAGCAGGATCTTAGGGGAATACTATAGAATGTCACAATTGTAGTAGCGTTGAGGCTGCTGACATTATATCCACGACGACGGCACCGAGCAGTAGTTTTGGGGCTTCTGGATGTCTATACAATAGAGACTTTACTGGTAAATAACATGAATAAAATATATTAAATGCACTAATTCTTTTATGGGAAGATTGTTGTTGAAATGTATGGTCTGGTAACAGGGTCTCTTTGGTCTGTAAGTACACTGGGGCAGGAAATGATGCAATTAGTTTTATGTTCCCCATAAAATTCATGCATCCATGTTATATATATACTATATAAAATATTTACCTATACATAATCCCACCGACACCCAGGTCACTACAGGCTACAAAAGTAGAAAGGATCAACAGGAGGTACCACTAGGCATAGAAATGTTGGCTGCTGAAGAGACTTCAGAGGAAGATTTCTCTTTATCAGAGGAAGATTTCTCTTCATCAGAGCAGCGTTTGGCAGTACAGGCAACGGGAGAGATAAGAATTTGCTTTCTTCTTTGTAGCGACAGCTTTTATTTGCACTTTCTTGTTTTGGACAAAGTCACTTTAAGTACTCCTAGGTGGCCTAATCTAAAAAAAAATAAAAAACTACCATCATCTATTATTTGCCCTAGTTATCTTTAGGTTAGTCATATACCATTGATAGGCTTACATGGAGAGTAGTGCTCCTGTATCTAATTAGTCACTTTTTAACCTCTATATGCAGAAGGAACCAAAAAATAGTATTTTTGTTTCTGCCGCTAGATGTTCTCAGTGTGATACCCAGCATCATTCAACCTACTTTCTCTGAGCCCAGGTCATCCTGGACCCTGCCTCAGCCTGTGGACAGTAAAAGGAGAAGCAGGAAAGTGGTCAGCTCATTTCTCTGTCACTGTGCTTTCTCCTCCTGTTAGCAAACGTCTTGTCAGTACAGGAACTGATCGTGCTGGTTCTTCTTCTCACATTTCAGCTGTGCTGTACAGGGACTATAAGAGGCTAATACAAAATCACATTCAGATACTTACATTGCTTGCATTATAAACAGATGTAGCCAGGTGCCAGCTACGATAAAATGAATGAAGTGGACATTACCTGCATTGCTGCAGACTGTTCAGTTTTCCCTCCAGTGCAATACTCTGGCCTCTTGCATCATATTCCAGAGCCCAGAAGTAAAGGACAGTGGGTAGTCTTGTGTTCAGCCATATCTGGACCCTGGAGCTACCCTTAGACTACATCTCCCAGCAAGCTGCTAATCCAGCAGGGGTGGGGTGATGGGAAAGTCTATTTAATAGCTGGGTTAAGTGGGATCTGTCTCATTCTCTCCGTGAGGATCCATCAGTGTGCGCCAGAGCTGCCATCCTGTTGAGACCGCGGCCTACCCAGAGCCTGTGAGCCATTCCTGTCCCTGCCAGGGTGAGCCTACACCTCTGTGCAGCTTTAGAGATTTCCTGGTCACCACGCTGCGGTGCCAAACCTATGCCGACGAGTTCACATGGAACTTACCTATCGCATCTATCCTTCCACTGACTGGAGTGTAGACCCTGCATTGCTTCCTCTGTGTGCAGACTATTTCCAGGGTCTGGTGAGCAGGCTTGAGCCCAAATCCTTCTTTCTCCAGTAGCACATGGACACTGCATGTAGACACCACAATCCGGATCATAAAGGAATCTAATACCTCCACTTGTTTGATGATTGTTTAAACCCTTTTCCCCACTGAGGATATTCCCTTAACTCAGTGTTTCTCATCCCTTTTTCAGTCCAGGCACCCTTTAAAATTATGGACAGTCTCGAGGCACCATTTAAAATTATGGACAGTCTTGAGGCACCCCATTCTAAAATGGGATGCCTCTAGGCTGTCCATAATTTTAAAAGGGCACCCCATTTTAATAACTTTATATAACGCAGCAACATCCACACATGTAGGACACCCAACATTAGAGGTGATTTATTCTTCAAAAGCAAATACACGTTTGCACACTGGTACTGACTAGTATTCCAGTGTTTCTCTTCTCCCTCAGTTTTTCTCCATCACTGAGCTAATGTGACCCCAATACTGATGGAGAAGGGCAGGGGAGGGTCAAACTAGGATGCTGTGCAGGCAGCTGACATCCTTCTTATCAACTGATGATGTCATTGGTTGTCAGAATGCTGTCGCCTAGAAGGTTGTAATCGTGCACAATGAAAACCTGTGGCTTTGTGTAACTAAAAGGCAGGCTTGTTCCACCTGCTGGCTTGTATACAAGTATTGGGCAATTTTTAGACATTTGCCAAGCCACTTCTGAGGAAACCTCAAGGCACCCTGGTTGAGAAAGGCTGCCTTAACTTACTGAGCTCCAATGTGCCGGCAAAGACTGCGTTCAGACCTAACACTTGGACTACCTCTATTCTTTTATCTCCAGCAGGGTGTGAGTTGGCCCAGATTGAGCTTCTCTATCCCCTACAGTTAAGCCTCTCTCCAGTGATAACTCTTTTCCCCTTGCCTTTCCACCAGCAAGATCCCTGGGTACATTCAAATATCTAGTGTTTAACATTCTTCACATATTTAGATGATATTGGTTTGCATTGTACTGAAGAGTCTAATAATCTGGTGTTCCACCCAGCCAGTCTTGAATACTATCCCAGGATTGGCTGACTAACACCTTCAAATCCATTGTTTGCTTTGATCAATACAGAAGTCTGCTGTATTCAGTTAGATTGTGTCTGCGGTTTGTTTAAAAGGGCATACAACATGTCAGAACCTACAGTGTCAGAAGGGAAGTTTGCAGGATCAGGGCAGCACAAGAGGACAAATAATATCCAACGGCTCTCATGGGGGTAGCGCTGCACAAACATTTATTGATGCATTAATGATTGCTGAGCTGCATTAAAGGAGAAGTACAGCCAAAGCTTGTTTGGCTGTGCTATTCCTGTGGATTACAGGAGTGTAGTTTATTCTGCACTCCTGTGACCCCTTTTCAGCTGTCAGTAGGCTAAAGCCTGCTGTTGGCTGACATCACTCAGGCAGTACAGGGAAAGATCATGGCCATATGGTTGAGATCCACTCAGGAACCTGGACCGGCACCTGGCTCAGCCTCTCAGTGGTCTGCTGATAGCCTGAGCCAGCCACTCCCACCCTCTCCACAGCTCAGCACAACAGTGAGCACTGGTGGGGGGGGGGGGAGTGCAAATCAGACAAAGGTGACTGACAGTCACCTCTCTCTTCTCAGAACGGAGGGGAGAACTGAGCAATCAGTGGTGTCTGATTGGTCAGTTCTCAGCCTTAGAGGCGGCGGTGGACAGATGCAGCATTGGATTGATGTAAGTAAGTATGATTTTTAAAAAAAAACACTTCTGTTTTAATATGTTATTTTATATCTGCCCGAGGTTCAGTTTTACCAAAAAATCCAAACCTTATGCACTAAAAGAAAAATTTGGGCTGGAGACAGCTTTTTAGTAGGTCATATTTCTTTAGGTCTTTTACGAGAAGAGGACATCTTTGACCCTTGTCCAACCAAAACTACAAAAATAAAATGGCTTTCCTTTTTAAGGGATTGTGTACTTGGAACCACGCCTGAAATAGGTGACCTACACACCTCTTGACTTTTACAGAAATAATTAAGCAAGAATATAGCTGAGCAAATTAAAATGTTGTCCCCTACAACAACAACTTTTACCAATTTATGGCAATATAAGACTATTAAGAGAGGTGCAAAGAGCTGGCAGTAGACATTCAGTCCTGTGTAGACAACCTCCTGCGGTCCTGTAATAGGGAGAGGCATGCAGTCAGATCCCTCCAGCATCACACAGAGTAGTCCAGAGTGACTTGTTATCTGAACTCATTAACAGTGACATCTAAGGGAAAGATCCCAGTGCTGGGACTAGAGACAAACATGGGGTTTGTTTTCTGTAATAACGGGGTGTTGACGTGATCTCTGGGACTAATACAGAATTACTTCTATTTCTATGGCGGTGGGAGGGCGCAGAACAAAAACACAATTGATGCTGTGCAATGCACTGACACGGTGTCATTGCTCCCTATTGTGAGGAGGTTATATACAAAGCTAATAGAAACACAAAGTTGTTATACAAGCTCATCGAATAGATCTTGGATCTTGTTTGTTTTAAAACAGTCAGCAAACCTCAGTCCCCTTCATATAACCTACAGACCTACAGAAATATGACATGTACTTAAAGGCCAACTCCAGCCAAAACCTTTGATTGGAGTGGGTAAAACTAAACTACAGGCAGATATAAAAGACATACATTAATTCAGCTCTGTAATCATAAATGCAAATATATTTTTTTATATTCAGGCAGTGTAAGTATCTTGGTTTCAGCCTCTTGCAGTCTTTGTACAGCAAACCTCAGACTGGAAGAGGGAGAAGCAGCATAAGGAGCCAATCAGTTCATATGCTGATAAAAAGCATGTCTCCATGACAGCCTGGGCTCACAAGAAGTGGGCTGAATAAGGCTGGCTGTCAAGATGCCCTATGGTGAAAAGAGGTACTGTGAGCAGGGGGTCATTTTTTATGCTGGAGTTCAACTTTAACTTGTGTCCCTATTTAGGAGATTACAAAAGGGATGTTAGAGAAAATCTCCAAACTTTCCATTTTACAGGTGTCACAGGAAATAAGAGAGAAATCCCCCCAAAGGGGACACAGGTAACAATAGCAACAATTGCTGGTAGAGTGGAGAAGAGCTAGAACACACACAGTGACACAGGCGGCAATTAAACCTGACAATTTCTAAACCATGCCCACTGCATCTAAAGCCAAAAAAAAGTTTTGGGATGCTTGGACTTTAAAGTGATCCTTGTTATTTTGTAAGTTATCCCATCTAACAGTACATGTGTTTATTATTATTATTATTATTATACAGGATTTATATAGCGCCAACAGTTCGCGCAGCGCTTTACAAAATGAAGGTAGACATTACAGTTACAATACAATTTGGTACAAGAGGAAACAGAGTATAGATGATGTTATGAGCTCTCTGTTGCTCTCTCTCATATAGTAGACCTTCACATAGTTAGTCCTGCTGAAAAAAGAAAAAAGTCCACCCAGTTCAACCAAAAAAAAAAAAAAAAAGTTATAATCCTATACCCACAATTGATCCAGAGGAAGGAAAAAAAACAGCAAAGCATGATCCAATTTGCTCCTGCGGGGGAAAAAAAATCTCTTGCTAATCCCCCGAGAGGCAAACGGATATTCCCTGGATACACTTTCACAGTCTGCAGTACCTCTGGCCACCACTAGAGGGAGACTCCACTCCAATCCAGCTGGCTGACCACACACACAGGCAGATAGGAGTCTTATATACAAACTGGTGCACTCTAAGGGTTGGGGAGCAGTCTAGCAATTTGCATACTCTTCTAGGATTCCGCCAGCTATCCTACAAGCTATCACTCTTCCACTGTCCACACACCCCCACACCAGGCACACAACAAATGGTAGCTTGCACCATCCAACAGTTTGTCCGCAGACTGGTCTGCTGGGCTACCACACACATACACAGATCTCCATCTGGCAGATCTGCTACTTTACAATCTGTATGCAATCTGCCAACTCGCAGTGCAATTGCATACAGATTGGCAATGAACTTAGACCGAGCACATAGACACTACGATACAACAATCTCTCCGAGGATATGAGCCTGAGCTTAAGTACACAGAAGTCACTTATTAATTTTATGATTTAATTTCCCGAAAGTGGGCAGTGCATAAAATATGTACAAAGAAAAAAGAGTTACAGAGAATACAAAAAGACACACAACTGGCTATTCACTGTGAAATAAAAAGGGAATAAAAACAGAAATAAAACTTTTACCAAGATTTATCCTGTGACTGGAGCAAGTCAAAGAAAGCCCACAATTCGCCAGTCAAATGGAACCGACTCTATACGAATCACCCCGTCCATATCTCAGGATCCTCAATTTGTTTAAATGTGGATGTGGGCTGGACTTTAGCCCTTGGCCAATCAACCCTGGGGGGTGTTTCTGTCCCTGCCCACAGGAAGTTCTGTGTTCTGAAGTACCCTGAGCTGCATGGGCCAAGAACGGTTCGGATCACTGGATCAGAGATATGATTTCCAACACCAGCACATAATTTTGATCGCAACAGTACCAATCATTGTTCAGCTGTCACAATCAGGTGCCATATAACCGTTTGGGTGTTTCTCCGGGATTCTGCATAGGCTACAAATACAGTTTTACATGTACATGAAGCTTAAAATGTGTCCAATCAGAAGGAATTATTTCCATCTCTTCCAACTAATATTTTAGCTTTTATGAGAGATGAAATAGATTCCTCTGATCTGTGAATATAATTCAAAGCTGGCAGACCTTTTGGAGCCTTCTCCTGGTCTCCTGCTGACTCTTGTAACCAAAATGACTAGGATTCTTCTTTTAGGTTCAAGAAGGTGGCAAACTCTGGCTACACAGATGAGAACGATTTATTGGCATCTAGATGACAACTCTAGCCTAGAAGCTTGCTTTGTCCTTTCAAATGCTAATTAAAAACATATGTGTATGACTGATTAAGGAATATTGTAGCTCTAATAACACAGGGTTAAACTATAGCTACAATTATATACTTCTACAGATCACATCATATCTCAACTACCATACTCTTACATTTATGTTACACTGGCCAGAACCAACTCTTGAGGGAGTCTGTTCCACATTTTCACAGCTCTTACTGTGAAGAAACCTTTCGTATTTGGAGATTAAATCTCTTTTCTTCCCCGGTGTAAATAGTGCCCCCCCTGTCCTCTGTGATGACCTCAGGGTGAATAGCTCTACACCGAGTTCACTATATGAACCACTGATGTATTTATACATGTTGATCATATCCCCCCCCCTTAATCTCCGCTTTTCAAGAGAAAATACATTCAGTTCCTCTAATCTTTCCTCATAGCTGAGCTCCTCCATGCCTTGTATCAGTTTGGTTGCCCTCCTCTGTACTTTCTCCAGTTCCCCAATGTTTTTTTTGTGAATTGGTGCGCAAAACTGAAAGACTGTATATTCCAGATGAGGTGTTACTAATGATTTGTACAGGAGTGAAATAATATCTCTCTCTCTCTGGAGTCTATACTTCTTTTAATACAAGAGAGGATTTTGTTTTATAATAGTGCCAGAACCCCCAGATCCTTCTCCACCATTGATTCCCCCAGTTGTACTCCCCCTAGTATGTATGATGCATGCATATTCTTAGCCCCCAAATGCATAACCGTACATTTATCAACATTAAACCTCATTTGCCACATAGTTGCCCAATTAAACAGTGCATTGAGGTTGGCTTGTAAGTTCTGTATCCTGTAAGGACAGTATTCCACTGCACAGCTTGGTTTCATCTGCAAAGACTGAAACAGTATTTTTAATCTCAGACCCTCTATCGTTTATAAAATATATTAAATCGTGTCACAGTTCTCTAGCAATCCCTAGATAGCAGCTGTGAAAACTCTGCTTATGAATCGACTTTACCTTCAGAAATCTGGAGTCTGTCAAAATACAGTAACATTCCAACTTTCCTGATTGGCTGAAATGGGTTTTTTTTCTAATAGTTGTGCTGTTAAAAAGGAGTGGTGGGTGCAGTAGTGGCAGATGTATTTTAATGAATAGTAATAAGTATAATAATAAAGTGGAACTCAAACTTCATAACTTAAAGTATTATATGTAAATACCCAGTGAACCCTGTCCTGGTTTTCATTTCCATCACAGATAGGCAGCATGTTCACGATTCTAATGTTTCACATGAATATTGCAAGCATTGCACGGCCACTTCTCGATATTTGCTGTTGTTTCCCTTTGTAGTTCAAGAGACTACAGAGATTATGCCATGACCTTAATCATTTTGATGCTGCACTGAATGGTTATTAATTTCAAATTTATTGTTATGTTGATACAGGCTAATCTTTTAAAAATTAAAAATGTATTTGTCATTGTCAGAGGTACATATTTGGGAGAGATGAGTTGATTATAGACCTGGGCTTTAAAGTATATTTAAAGCCAGATTAAAGTGATTCTAAAGGTTCATTAAAAAAAAAAAAAAAAAAAAAAAACATGTCATACTTACCTGCTAAATGGTTTTACACAGAGCAGCCCTGATTCTCCCCCACTGGCAATCCTGGCCCTCCCCCCTGCTGACTGTCCCAATATCAAGCTGATTGCTCTGGGGGCACTCGTGAATGTTTACTCCCAAGCCACCTCTGTGTGTTTGTAAGACTTATAGAGCGAGGCGAGGCCCATTGCTCCCTCATCACTGGATGTGACTGACCCTAGGTCCATGAGATGTGAGAGAACCGAGAAAGCCTTGGCTCTCATGAAAAACGCTGGATCAGGATCGGGCTCAGGTGAGTATAAGGGGGGCTGGGAGTAGCTGGATTGGGCTGTCTCTTAGTATAGAATACATAAAGGTAAGAAACCTTCTGCCTTTACAACCACGTTGAACCCCCTGTGAGGTTTTTTTTTTACCATCTAGAACCCATTGGGGAAATTTCCCTTTACAAGAAGTGAGAGGAAATAATTTCAATGTAAGGAAAATCCCCTTAGGCAGTTGTCAAAGAACAAGTATTCCCAATAAAATAATAAGCGTCTATTCCTGTTTTTGTACAGGGCCAGGTCTAGCCTGTCTGATATGGGGGTGCAATAGAAAATGTCAGGGGGGGCAGAGGATGTGAGGTCAATAGGGTAGTGTATAGGGGATCAGCAGGACAGAGGATAAGGTCAGCAGTTTGTGTGGGCAGGCAATGTACAGAGGCCATACATTTGCAGGACATTGTACAGTGAGTTATCAGGGCAGTGGTCAGCAGGACAGTGTGCAGGGAGTTAGCAGGAGAGTGCACAGGGGGTTATCAGAGCAGATGACAGGGATCAACAGGGCATACGACAGGGGTCAGTAGGGTGGAGAACAGGGGTTATCAGGTCAGCAGAACAGGACGGGGTTAGCAGTGCAGAGGACAGGGTCAGCAGGGTAATGTAAAGGGGTCAGCAAGGCAGAAGCAGGGGCGGACTGATCATTTGGAAACTCGGGCACGGCCCGAGGGCCCGGGGTCAGTAGGGGGCCCCATGAGATGCCCCTGGTACCCTTTTCATAGGCTTTTTTGAGTTTGGGCAAGGACACAGGGGCCCCATGATCCCCTATTGCCCGGGGGCCCCATGAGTTGTCAGTCCGCCCCTGGGCAGAAGACAGTGGTCAACAGAGAAGAGGCCAGGGTCACTGCTAGCAGAACACTCAGCAGAGCTCCTCCTCCCATGCACACAGCCTGTGTCCTCAGATCTCCTCCTCCCCACACAGCACATAGCTGATTCCTTTACAGACACAGCCTCCATATGCACAATGTGTAGCTGGCTACTGCAGCTGCCATTCTGATCAGAAAATTTCACAGGTCAGAACTTCAACCCAGCTACACACTGCATATGGAGGCTGTGTCTGTAAGGGATACTAATCTCAGCTATGTGCTGTGTGGGGAGGAGAAGATCTGTTGAGTACCCTATGTGCTGGGTGGGCAGTGCTTGGACAAGGACATCTAGCTTCTAGGGTGAAGATGACAATAAATCCCTCCCCCTCAAAAAAAAAAAAAAAAAACAACACAGATCAGCATGCTCATCATAAATTTCCTCTGCAAGCCAGAATGCTCCCCGAACAATGCAAATATTCCCCCTCCTCCCAATAAAAATACCCCCTT